CAATGATGAATGTCATTATATTGTATACCTAAAATGTACCAATAAAATTAAAGAAAAAAAAAAAAGGAAGATGGGCGAAGGGAAAAAAGGGACCTCCATAACTCAAACTTCCAGTATTTTTAGGGTCAGACACTTCTGGTCCCACTGTCTCTCTCTCTCTGATACCAGCAGTCTGCCGAGCCTCCTAAACTGAAGCCTGGATGATCATTAGGGTGGTGTTTGGTTTATGGCTGAATGGAGAGAAGGGAAGTGGCTCACACAACTTCCCTGTGTTAGGATTATGGAAGCATGAGTGTGTGGTGTTTATAGTTGAACACACGGAAGGGTGTGTCTCAGTTTCTAACTCTGCTAGTAATATATTTTGACTTACAAAAATTGGCTTCCTTTGTTAGGTAAACCCTGTATCCCTGTTGTACTCTTTTTCCTTGCAGTCTATGAGATAAACAATGAAGATGTGGATGCCCTAATGAAGAGCCTACAGGTCAAAGCCTCCCCTCTAGTCAATGATGGTGTGGTTCGGTTGAGAGGACTTCCTTACAGCTGCAGTGAGAAGGACATTGTAGACTTCTTTGCAGGTGCTCAGCAGTTTGATCACATTTGGGGCATCACATCTCCCATGTCCTCTTTCCTCATTGTCCTTCTGTATCTCAGAAGTGTTCCGACTGGTGAGGCAGATCTTTGGGTCATGTCACATTTCAGAATAATTTCATAAAGCTTTGTTTTACTACTGAAGAAAATACCTTTGCAGGGTGGATGTGGTCAAAATATATTGAGTCCTCCCTGCAAATGTGAAACCGGGGAAGAGGGCAGGACAAGGGATGGGGGATGAGAATGATCGAAGCACTGTATGCTGCTTGCGGCGCATGCCTATAACCCTAGCACTTGTGTGGCTGAGGCAAGAAGATCACCATGAGTTCGAGGCCAGCCTGAACTACATAATGAGACACTGTCTAAAAAAAAATACTTGCATAATGAAAATTACAGAATTATATTGTTGAAAAAAATAAAGATGATCTAAATAATTAGAAATAGCACACGTTAAAAGAATACCTTCTTGGGCTGGGGATTTAGCTCGGTGCTGCCACCTGCCTTGAAAGCACAAGTTCCTAAGTTCGATTCCCAGTACCAAGAAAAAAAAAAACCTCTCCCTATTATTGTCATCATTTTGTGTATCTAAAATTTACCAATAAATGTTTTCCTTGGGGAAAAAAACACCTCAGAACAGTGGCCCTGGTTGTCTAAGACAAAGACAATCTGTATGATTTAAACACATGTAATTCCTAGAAAATAATACACTCTTAGTAGCTATGTTAGTCTCTTAAAATACAAATAATGGCAAAAAAGTGGGAGGTGAGTTGTATGCTTTAGATGGGCTACTTGGACCCTACACATTGTAGAAATATAAGTATTTATGTGTTACTGATGTTTGACTATGTAGTAATTCCCTATTTTACATTGCCCAGCTTTGGGATTGCCAGAATATCTTACAGATTTTATTAGGGCATGAGTAAATGTGTTAATTCTGAGGATAAAATAGTTCCTGTTAGCAGAAATAATTTGTAGTAACTTTCTTCTGTTCTAGGACTGAATATAGTAGACATCACGTTTGTGATGGACTATAGAGGGAGAAGAAAAACAGGGGAAGCCTACGTCCAGTTTGAAGAGCCAGAGATGGCCAGCCAAGCGCTGATGAAACACAGGGAGGAAATTGGAAACCGGTGAGTGAAGCAGACCGTAGTGTTGGGAAGTTCCCTGCAGCAGATCGCAGTGATGAGTGCATGGGATCTGACTGCTGAAGTTATCCACAGGAGACCATGGAGATGGGCTGGGAAAGGAGCCCATGGGAGAATCCTGCAGTGAGCCACTTGTATTGATGCTAACATTTGTTAGATTTGTTTTCTTTCTCTTCCTTTTTTTTTTCAGTAGTTGCCCTTTTCTTTTCTTTGAGACTGGTCTTGAACTCACTATGTAGTCCTCCTGGCAGGCCTTGAACTTGTGATCCTCCTTTCTCAGCCTCTCAGATTGCTGGGATTACAGGCAGATGCCACCACATCTGGCTGTTGCTACTGGCTGCTACTGCTTGTCATTGGTTTTTGTTTTTTGGTACTGGATATGGAACTTGGGACCTTGCGCTCGCGGGGCAGGTGCCAGCACCACTGAGCTAAATCCCTGGCCCTGTGGTTGGTTTTTGTTTTGTTTTCTTGTGGTGCTAGGGATTGAACCCAGGCAAGGTTCGCTCATGGTAGGCTAGTGCTCCAGCCCTGAGCTCTATGCCTGGCCTGCAGTTGGCTTAGAGGAAATTGGGCCAGCTTCCTCGTATAGTGTCTTCCATTCATGTAACATCAGGATGCACATAAAGATGTAGATGATGTATGTTTTAATTTCAATTTTCAAGGAATAGTAAAAGTAGTCAAATTTTCCATTATTGTTTTTTCCATTATTGTTTTTATTATTTATTATTTCTGACCTTTTTACTTAGCTCCCTTATGGTTAAAGGCCACTCCAAGGCCAGTGTATTCAGGATGTGCTGCACGGTTGGTTCAAAGGTCTTTGTTAAGAAGTGCTATTGAGGGCCGGGGATTTAGCTCAGTGGTTCCAGTGCCTGCCTTGAAAGTGTGAGGTCCCGAGTTCGATCCCCAGTACCAAAAACAAAACAACAATTAAGAAGTGCTATGGAAGGGCTGGGGATTTACCTCAGTGGTTCTGCCGCCTGCCTCGCAAGCACGAGGTCCTGAGTTCGATTCCCGGTACAAAAAAAAAAGTGCTATTGACTAGTTTTCTTTCTCTGTGTGGTTCTAGGAGTCACGTTAGGCAAAGCACTATGCCCCTGAGCTGAACTCTTGCTTCGTTATTTAATGTTAGGTTTTCACAATTCCCATTTAATAGCCTATTTTGGAAAAGTAGTCCCACTATCACTGTGATGGCAAGTCAGAGCTAATATTTAGTTCTGGAATTTTCTTTAGCCTCCTGTTAAGTTCTTTTGTGGAAGTTCTTATAATGTCATTTTTAATATCTTGTACAGAGGTGACTATTTATCTGCAATTGCAAGATGTCAAGGGTTGTGAGAAGAGAATAAGCCTTTGTATTAATCTGCTTTTCATTACTGTAATAAATACTTGAGGTAGGCTAACTTTATAAAGAAAAGAAGTTAATTTAGCTCACAGTTTCAGATGCTGAGAGTCCACCATATGGTACAGGTCTTGGGGACCCCCATCCAGTATGGCTGTGTGGGAAGAAGAAATCATGTTTCGTAATAGGAAGGCAGAGAGCAGCTCAGGTTAGGCTCAGGCTTTGGTAATGACTTGCTCGCTGAGGCCTGGCCTGCCGACTTACCCTTCCTGGAACAGTGCCCTCATGAGCGCAGGCCTTCCTAGGGTTCTTCCTGTGTGTGCAGTCAGCTTAGCCAAGCGTTCTCAGACACTATTCAAAATCTGCATGAGGAAAAAGTGTTAGCTTGGCAAAAAGATCTAATCATTAACTACTGCCGAGATTACTTTTTCATGGACTGGTATCTATAGCTTTTTTTTTTTGGTACCAGGGATCGAACCTCAGGACCTTGTGTTTGCCAGGCAGGTGCTGTGCTCCTAAGCTACATACCCAGCTTCTATAGCTATTGTTAATTTGCTCCATGTTTCATAGATACATTGAGATATTCCCAAGCAGAAGGAATGAAGTTCGAACACATGTTGGCTCTCATAAGGGAAGAAAAGTGGTGTCTTCTCCTACTGCCAAGTGTATAACTGAACCAGATGTGGTTTTTGAAGAACATGAAGTAAATGAAGATATTCGGCCCATGACCACTTTTGAAAATGAGAAGGAGATAGGTAAAGTCCTGCTGCTGCTGGAGATTCAGTGGGTCTGCCTTACACGTTTTGGTTTGTGTTAATTTTTTTTTTAACTGTGTTGTATGAAATCTTGAGATTATAGGAGGACAAAGGAATTGAGTTAAAGATTTAATGGAGTGTGAAGGTACTTTGAGTATATGCAGGAGGGCTTACTAACTTTTTTTTTTTTGGTACTGGGGATTGAACTCAGGTCCTTGGCTTTCGGGCCAGGTGGCAGAACTACTGAGCTAAATCCCCAGCCCACTTACTTGCTTTTAATATAATCATTTTGTAGATTGTACCAAAAGGTGAGTACTAAAATGGTAATAAAGGAAGTAAAATGACATTTAAACTGAGGTGGGGAAAGATTTGTATAGAAAGCAGGAATAGTGACTGAAGTAAGGATTTTTGTTTGACTCTGAATTTAATTATTTAATTCCCAACCCAAAAGCAACCTTTGGAATCTTTGAAATGTATTGGATACTTTGGGATTATCCTGTCACCGTAATATATGTGTATGTATATGTACTAAAGTACCTTTTACATATTTTATAATAATGGTTCTAATTCTGTGTATCTATTATATATTAGTACCTGTAACCCAGCAAGTTTTTCTTGCTGTAGAGATTCTTTTATGATCATTTTACCTTCTCTCAAGTTCTTAACTTGGTAATGGTTTGAGACACTACATGCTTGTGGGTGTTTAGGGATGTTGATAAGCAGCAGAGATTTCATTTCATCACTGTGGCTTTAGGAGCCCTTCCTTGCTGGTTCCAGAAGACATGACAATTTTGATATCACAGGTCTTGGTCTGTTAGTGACTCCTGAAGAATTTATGCCCTTGTTTTTGTTCTCCTCAGAATTGCCTAAGGAGGTGTTAGAGAAGGTTCCAGAGGCTGCGGATCTTGGAGCCATGCCTTCCCTGCATGTTGTGCACATGAGAGGGCTGCCTTTCCAAGCCAATGCCCAAGACATCATAAATGTGTGTGCAGTAAGACACCTAGTCCAACTAGGTTGGGAAAGCTCTGAAATTAAACTTGTATTAATTTGGTGTAGGGAGAGAGAAAATACAGTACTTTTGTTACATAGCATGTCCCTTGTTGGAAAGCTTGTTTGATTTTCTGCAGCTGAAAGTGTGGCATAGCTGGGCTTGATAGCACAGGCCTATACTCCCAGATACTGAGTGGTTGAGGCAAGTCCCTATAGCTTAGGAGTTCAGGTTAGCCTGGGCAACATAGTGAGACTGTGTCTCTTTAAAAAAAAAAAAAAAAAAAAAGTGACTTTTGGCCAGGGATTTAGTTCAGTGGTTCTGCCGCCTACCCTGCAAGCGCAAGGTCCTGATTTGATCCCCAGTACCAAAAAAAATGTGGCTTTGAGTTTGATTTCTAGTACAAAAAAAAGAAATGTGTTTTTGTATCACACTGAAAAAAATAAACAGATTCGAGGATTTTATAGATGCCGAATAATATGAGATCGGTTTAGTAATCAAAGTTTGATTTCATAATAAATTGGTTCAGCTCATTCAGTTTTTAGTTTAGGAAACTGAGACTCAGGTATTTGATGACAGCCTTTGCATATAGATGCTCCTGGACTTATGATGAGGCTACACTGCAAGGTGAGAGTGCTGGTAGCTGAGCCTGAGCATCACATCTGAACCCCTGGCACCCTTAGGGCATTGCAGCCTTGTTGTCACTGTCCAGTGGGCTGGGGATGTGGCCGCTGCCATGCCCCATCTTAGCAGAGTGTCTTACTGCATGTCACCAGCCTGGAGAAGACCAAGATTCGGTGTGGTTTCTACTAAATTTGAATTGCTTTTATACTATGGTGAACTAAAAAACCTTAATTGGAACTGTGAAGCCATCATGAAGTTGGGGACTGTGTGTACTAGCCGAGAATCTAGGGCTGAAATGCCCAGCGTTCTCAGTACACACTATGTAGTTTTCTTGCAAACTCCCTGACTTTTGAGAAAATGAGTATAAACTACATTTTTATTTTAGAATAGACACTATGTGCAATAAAACAGAACAACAAAGCTCTGGACATCATGAACTTGACAACGTGTATGAAATATAGATCTAACCTAAAGTTGACAATTACTAGTGATGCCTCATTTGCCATCAGTATTTCAAAGAGCCTAATACTAGTTACAGGAATCAGCATTCTCTCTTTTTGATGGTATTAAGGAACTGGGGATTGAACCCAGGGGCACTCTACCACTCAGCTCTATCAATTGATTGGTTGATTTTATTTCAAGACAAGGTCTTACTAAGTTGCCCAGCCTGGCCTTGAACTTGGCAATCCTTTTGCCTTATCCTCCCAAGTAGGTAGTACAGCTGTGTGCCATCAAGCCTGACCAGGAGCCGTATCTTTATCTGAGTGAAGGTTGTACATTTTATTAGCATTGTGTTCAGTTGCTTTGCTTTGGAGCAGTGACCACTCATATGGTAGTTCTGCTGATGCAGTACTGACGAGGTACCTATCTGATTAAAACACAGTTTTTCTTTTTGAGACAAGTCTCACTACATATAGTGCAGGCTGGCCTTGAACTTACTACGTAGCCCAGGGTAGCCTTAAATTCATAATCTTCCTGCCACAGTGTCTTGAGTGCTGGGATTGCAAGCATGTATCACCGTGCCTGGGAAAACATGAGTTATTAAGGAATGAAGAATATTTATTCCCAGATGTAGTGGTGCACACCTGTCGTAGCACTTGGGAGTTCAAGGCCAGCCTGGAACATGTAGCGAGACTCTGTCTCAACAAACCAAAAAAAAAAAAAAAAACCAAGAATATTTGCTGACATTGTTTAGAAACCCAGAAAGGTATGTGGAATAATAAAAATGGTCTTTATTGTTGCTGGGCATGGTGGCCCACATCTTATAATCCCAGCAGTCAGGAGGCTGAGGCAGGAAGATTGTCATGAGTTTGATACCAGTCTGGGCTACATACTGAGTTCAAAGACCAGCCTGGACTACATAGTGAGGCCCTGTCTCAAAAAAACCAAAAAGAAAAAAAAAGTCTTTTATCATTTTGTTTGAAAATGTGAGAACCATTTGTGTAGTGATTGTGTTTGTAGTTACAGTTTTTTACGAGACCCGTGACTTGAGTTTAGCTTAAAGAGATGATACCTAAAAGCAAAGCTATGAGGTGAGCTGAAGAGTGTAAAGGAGCCATGCAGGGGCTGAGCCTGTAGGTGTGGCTGGTTCAGCAGTGTTGTGCTTGGCTGCCCTGTGTCACGCAGTTCTTCATGCCGCTGAGGCCGGTGCGGATCACCATGGAGTACAGCTCCAGTGGGAAGGCCACGGGTGAGGCTCATGTGCATTTTGGCAGCCACGAGGACGCCGTTGCTGCCATGCTCAAGGACCGGTCCCATGTGCGTAAGTACTTCCCCTGCTTGCTGGCATTGGCCCGGAGCTGTTCCCTATACTACTGAATTAAACATTAGGATAAATAGTTATTCTAATGAAAAGCATCGATTTGTCTGATTTTTCATTTTTCATTTTTCATTTTTTTTTTTTACTCTGGACCTTGTGCTTGCCAGGCAGGTACGGTGCCACTGAGCTACATCCCCGGCCCCATTTTTAATTTTTTTGAGATGAGACTCTTCCTTTGTTGTTGGGACTGGTAAAACTCAAGAGGCTCAAGTGGTCCTCCTGCCTCAGCCTCTTTTGGCTGGGTCCATGAGTATGTACCACCACACCTGGCCTTTCTTTGCCTTTTTGCTTTATTTTGCTTTGTGGCACTGGGGATTGAACCCAGGGCTACTGAGCTATATCGCAGCCCTTTTTTATGTTTTTAGTCAAGGCCTTGCTAAGTTGCCCAGGCTGGCCTGGAACTTGGAATTCTTAGCTTGGATTTTAGGTGCACCACCACTCTCAGCTTATTTTTGTGTTTAACTAGGGAATGGGCAGAAGGCTTGAATTGCTGTCTGGATGGTGAAAAAGTGGATCCAATTTTTTTCTGCCTTTTTAGCTTTTTTTCTTTTGGTGGTACTGAGGATGGGGCCCTTATGTTGAGCTCAGCCTTCTCTTTATTTATTTATTTATTTATTATTTAATGTTATATATGCAGTTTATCTGGTAACAGATTTTAATTTTTTAATACATTTTATTTTATCTCTTTCCCCCCTCCCCTCCCCTCTGTATGTACAAAAGCTTAGTTTCCATTTTTTTCCTTCTATTTTCACTTTTTTTCTTGTCCCTTCCTTCCTTTCTTCCTCCCTCCTCCCTTGTTCCTTTTCCCATTTGAACACTTTATCCTCATTTCCCAATATCCATTATACATTTCAGTTCTTATTTCCACTTTTGGTTTCTCACATCAGAGAAACAATGTGGTATTTAAACATATGTGTCCAATTTATTTGACTGAGGAGTATGGTCCATTCATTTAGCTATAAGTGAAGCTCATCCTTCTTTATGGCAGAGTAGTACTCCATTGTATAAAAACCACATCTTCTTTATCCACTCATCAATTGATGGACATTTGGGCTGTTTCTTTTTTGGTACCAGGGATTGAACTCAGGACCTTGTGCTTCCAAGGCAGATGCAGCGCCACTGAACTAAATCCCTGGCCCTATTTGGGCTGTTTCCAAGATTTAGCTATTATAAACTGTGCTGCTATACACATGGGTGTGCATATATTGCTGTGGTATGATGCTTTTAAGTTTTTTGGGAAGATACCAGGAAGAGGTTTAGCTGGGTCAAATGGAACCTCTAGTTTTAGTTCTTTGAGGAATCTCCACACTGATTTCCACAGTGGTTGTACCAGTATACACTCCCAGCAACAGTGGAGAAAGGCTCCTTTTTCCCCACAGCCCCTTTGGCATTTGTTATTGTTTTTTCTTGATAACAGCCATTCTTTCTGGAGTGAGGTGGAATCTCAGTGTTGGTTTTTTTTTTTGGTACCGGGGATCAAACTTGGGTCCTTGTGCTTATGCAGCAGGTGGTGAAACCACTGAGCTAAATCCCCGGCCCTCAGTGTTGTTTTAATTTGCATTTCATGAATGATCACTAATGTTGAACACTTTTTCATATACTTATGTGCCATTTCTAATTCTTTATCTATTTCTCTTTATTTTTTATTTTGAGACAGAGTCTTGTTAAGTCCGTAAGTTCCCCAGGCTGGGCTTGAACTTGTGATCTTCTGCCTTAGTCTCCCAGAGTTCTTGGATTACAGGTGTACACCATTATGCCTAAGTCCTTTACAACTTTGTAAAAACTGATTTTTTTAATAATTATTATCAGACCATAGGTATATTGAACTGTTCCTGAACTCATGTCCAAAAGGAAAATAAGACTTCAGGGATTCCAGATAATAAGGTAAATTTATTATAATAAGGTAAGAGGTATAACTGGAAATTATTTTCAGTTGATAATAATCATTAACTCACTAACTGGGAATTTAGTGGAAAGGATTCTTCTTTTCGGGGGGGGCATTTGTTTTGTTTTCAGTATTCATTGCGTGGTAGGCAAGTGGTCTTCTACTGAGCTATATCTCCAATGATTCTCTTTTTAATAAACGTTTAAGGAATGGTAACTGAAACATCAATAGAAAGAATGGAACTTCTGGGAACTCACACTCACTGTGATTGGAGAGTGCTTTGATGTTACCCCTGTGCGGAGTCTTGCTCTGTCCTTCCCACATTTATGCTGTGTGTTCCACAAATGGTTATAGCTGCTTCTAGTAGGTGTTGTACAGAGCAAGTATGCCTTGCACTCACTTTTCTTCCCACTAATATGTACACAGTTCCTCAGTTGCAGATATTTTTAGGGTGTGAAAAGGATGTTACTTTGGTTTATTTTTAAATAAATTTTATTTTATTTTATCCCATTCCCCCCTCAAGCCCCCTCCCCTCCCTGTGTATAAAAGCTTAGTTTCCTTTTTTTCCTTCTATCTTCACTTTTTTTTCTTGTCCCTTCCTTCCTCCCTCCCTCCTCCCTTGTTCCCCTTCCCATTTGAACATTTTCTTCCCATTTCCCAATATCCATTATACATCTCAGCCCTTCTTTCCACATTCAGTTTCTCACACCAGAGAAACAATGCAATATTTAAACATGTGTGTCTGATTTATTTCACTTATGAGTATGGTCTCAAGGTCCATCCATTTAGCTATAAATATCTGAAGCTCAAAAAGGATGTTACTTTGAAACCAGGGTGCATCACCAAGGCACAGTTAACTTGCCACTGTTGCCTTTTTCCAAAGTTGTGTTATGAAAATGATTTTTTGTCTTAGGAAGTACATGGTCTCATATTTGAAAATAGGCCTTGGTATCTCATCTCTTGCTAAATATCTTTTTTTCCCTATAAAGTGTTTAGGTAGTTTCTATTGAAGTTATTTTTCTGCATGTAGTGATGCGTTTTTTTGGTACAGGGGATTGAACTCGGGACCTTATGCTTGTGAGGAAGGCGGTGGTACCACTGAGCTAAATCCCTGGCCAGTGATGCATTCTTTAGAGACACTTAACTGTGATAATTTTTTGAAAACACATGGGTGTTCTGTTATTAGGGATGTTGTGGGCTATTTTAGATGTAAAATCCCTTGATGTTAAATGTTTAGATTACCTCAATTCTTATAAAATACATTCTGTACCCACTTGTAGAAATCTGGCCATGCCAGGCTGTGTTCACTGATACATAAATTCTCTGCAGTTTAAATTGATTCATTCTCAGACAGCCCGCAGTCAGTTAGAAAAAGATGCTGATGTTTGTAATTTCAAATGGTACTGGGAACCACTTGTGTAATCCTTTTCATTTTAAGTAAATGTGCACCATTTTTTGTTTCAGGGTGAAGCAAGAAGCATTTCATTTGCACATGTTTCTTGGACATGGAATATGAAGTTCCAGTTTATTGGCAGCAGCTGCTAGAGAAAAGATTTTGAGGTTTTTGGTTAATTGTATCTAAGAAAAATTTGTAGTGGACTAATTAGAAAGAGAAAGATGCAGTTGGGGATTATGAAATAAACCACAAATTGTAATTTTTGTTTAAGCTGCCCAGTTAAGAGAAACTGGTCTTTCTTTTATATAATTATAAACAGTTTGTTTTCATAGAGAATATGATACCCATTGTAAAGACTACGTATTTTTTTTTCAGCTGTATTTGTTAAACTCTTTCGCCCATTTAAAAAATAATCTGTTCAAGGTTTTTTGGTTTTTTTTGGTACTGGGGATCGAACTCGGGACTTTGCACTTGCCAAGCAGGCGGCAGAACCACTGAGCTAAATCCCCAGCCCAAGGTTTTGGGTTTTTTGGCCTATGAATTAAGAACTCTGATATAAAACCTCTCAAGGGGTTGAAATAATGATATATTTTAACCACTCATGAAAGCAGGGAAGGATTTCAGACTTTTAAACCAGTATGGTTTGGCAAAACAAGTTTTAATTTTAGATGTATTTGGTTACTTAGATGGGGGTAGGAATTTAAAAAACAAAACGTGAGTGTAATGACGATTTGGCAGCTTTATGTCTTTGGAAGTGTTTTGCCTTCTAAGCCTTTTAGCATTGGTGCCTGTCTACTTAAGGGAAGTCAAGGAAACAATGCAAGTCCCTCATTTGCTTCTTCAGTGGGGTAGCACATCCTATATTTTAGAACAAATAGGGTGCCTTGCTTAGGTAAAAATAGCATTCACTGTGTAACTGTGTGAGGGGCTACGGATCAAGCTGTACTTCTGTACACTGGCACTCCCTTCTGCTTTCATGTTCAACAGCTTGTTATTTTCAGTACTAGACAAGACGGCTGGCTTCCAAATGTAGTCATTAATAAACTGTGTGCATCTGTGTCAAGAGAGTCAAAGTTCTCCGTCATACGTGCTTTGCCTTGTTCCTGTCTCAGGGTGACAGCCACCTGGGAGATGCGATTCTAGTTCTTCTCACTGACTCTGCCCAGACTTTGTGCAGGTGATGATATCTGGAGGAGAAATTGTTTCTCTCCCTTAGCATCCAACCGCCTCTGATTACAGCTGAGATGTGTCACTGTACTGTAACGAGTGCATGGATGAAAGCTTATTTTAGGCCGAAAATGGCTTAAGAGAATTTATTACTGGATTATGAGTCAACTATATATATATTTTTATTATATCATCTCCTGGCATACTAATATAAGAAATGGCTAATTTTCCATTGTATTTACATCCTATTAGAATATACCTAACCTGCTTAACAGTTGTGCTACTTAGATGGAAATGTGTTTTCTGTGTGGTTGAATGTGAAGGTTGTGAGAACCTGTAACCATGGTTACATGAGCTGTTAGGGTGTCATCTTTTTCTCTCCCTTTCATAGATTGCTTTGGGGTCTTATTTACTGTGGAAAAGAACTGTAGGGTCTATTGGGCTTGGTGAGGAGTTTATTCATTTGCAAGTACTTTATTTTCAGGTAATGAATCTCACTGCACACCTAAGAAAAGAGTAAGAACACAGGCAGGTGTGGTGCACACCTGTAATCCCAGAACACAGGAGGCTGATGCAGGAGGATCACCGTTGAGTTTGAGGCCAGCCTGGGCTACGTAGTGAATTCAAGGCCAGCCTAAACGACATAGTGTGACCCTGTCTCAGAAAAAGCTACACAAAAAAAGCTCACACAAAAGCTACATAGCTGTTCAATGGAGGTACCTTAGTACCTCACTGTAGAGGCCTGACCCTCAGTACAAAGCAGGCCCAGTATCATGAATTGTATATTCCACTCGTGTTAGTGGGTTACTTTTCTCGCCAGTGAGTAAGTGGCTGCTGATGGGGCAGATTGAATTGCTGGCAGAGGGAGACTGCGGAATGGAGTGAAGGCACTGTTATTTGTATACAATAAAAAGGCATTTCTGTCTTCCCAGATTTGTGAAAATTCGCTGTGCATCCTGTTTGTTATGGGGGAAGCATTGTTAGGGAAGCTTCCTCCTGTCTTAGGCTCCTTTGTCTTTATGATCTTGTTTCGCTGCAGCCCCAAGGGGAGAGGACTCAGGAGGCCTTGTTGAGCTCCAAGGAGAGAGACTCCTGTGGGGAGACAGAGGCCGGCCAGTGTGTCCTGTGCTGCCGAAGGGGTGGGGGGTGCCATGACCCCTTGGCACCCCTGCTTGTTGGTTGGCCATCCATGTCTGTTTCTGTGTCCAGATGGCTGTAACAGTGTGATACCTCTCCATCCCGGCCCAGAGCAAGTGTGGGAGGGCTGGGTACTGCCGCAGGGCTTGTTGGGGTGGGGAGGGGTGGAGCAGCAGGCTGCCCTGAAGCAGGACTGAGAGCAGCCGCTGGCTCCTAGGAAGGAGGCAGAGCTGTGGTAGTCCCTCCTGCCAGGCTGTGGACCCGCTCCCAGGTCCTGTGGTGAAGGCCTGAAGGGCAGTTGCCCCAAACTGGGGTTTTGTGAGGAACTGGAGGAGGAGGATGGAGCTACTCTGTAGGGAGCAGAGGGGCCAGGTGCTCTAAATCCCATCAGTGGCAATGACCCGATAGGCTGCTTCTCATGTCTCAACTGTTGTCTCTGTTCCATCTTTTGTGAAGTGTCTGCTTAAATCTAGTGTGGCTAGCTATATAAAACAAATACTAATGGACATGAAAAATCAAATAAGCACTAATACAACTGTAGTGGGGGACCTCAATACCCCAATGTCACAGATCAACTAGACAAAAAATAAGCAATGAAATACTAGAACTCAATCAAATTCTTGAACAAATGAACTTAACAGATGTTTACAGAGTGTTCCACCTTACAAAAATCAGAATACACATTCTTTTCAGCTGCACATGGGTCATTCTCCAAAATAGACCACATACTTGCTCATAGAACATGTTTAAGTAAGTGCAAAGGAATTGAAGTTAGCTCCTGTATATTATCAG